ATGACATAACATCTGTCATAAACATGACATAGCATCTGTCATAAACACGACATAGCATCTGTCATAAACATGACATAACATTTGTCATAAACATGAACGAGTTTTGATGAATGTTTATGAATGTTGTCATTAAGTGTCATTCAGTTAATGATGACTAATGCAAAGTTGACATTGTGTAAAATGTCTTTGTTATGACAACTTGACTTTTTAACCATGTCCACTTTACATTAAAGGTGTCATAATTTACCGAATGACACTTAATGACAACATTCATAAACATTCATCAAGACTCGTTCATGTTTATGACAGATGTTATGTCAGTCTTATGGACACCCCTTCAAATATAGTCTTACCGAGACTTTAGAGTCAATTACCTCCACCATATTATGATGGTTACGTTTTTGAAATAATGCCATTTTTAAGTCAACCTGAATCGATCCCATCAAAAACATTTATTTGATGTGGTGTATTCTCATTTTTGTGTTTGTTTTTCTGTCCCTCTTCGTCACCTGCCTACTCTCCAGCTGGCTTTACTGAGTGTGTCGTGCTGCGACGCCAGGAAAATCCACGGCCCTCCGACTAAACGTGCCATCTGGTCCATCACCTGTAAAGGGGACATCTTTGTTAGCGAGCCCACTCCTGCCCTGGAAGCCACTCCTTACCCCACAGCTTGCGATCAGATGTAGGAATCCCAGACACATCAGTGAGCTTGTAAACGTTTGAGTTTTCCAGCTCTCTGTCTTTATTGTTTACCTGTGCAGGTTCTGGCGGCAGGTCGGAGGTCACCTGCGTTCCGTGGAGTGTAACAGCATCGGGATAGTGTGGGGTATTGGTTACGACCACACCGCCTGGGTTTACACTGGAGGTTACGGTGGAGGCTTCTTCCAGGGACTCAGCAGCAGCACAGATAATATTTACACACAGACTGATGTCAAGAATGTTTACATCTATGAGAACCAGAGGTGGAACCCTGTTACCGGCTACACTAGCAGGTACTAAACTCACTATTCATTTTTAAACACAAATGTCAAAGCTTATTTTCTTTTACATGATTCACTTTACTGGCTCTCTGTCTTAATTTAGACTTTAATGGTTACGCTCGTTTGTATCCGCCTGACCTTCTGCAACCTTATGTACCCTTCAAGTCACTTTAGACCAGGGGTCTGCAACCTTTTTGATCAAAAGACACGTTTATGTTCCTTTACTCACTAAATAAAATGTGTCTGGAGCCACAAAACATGCTACAACTGTGATCATCAACTGGTGGCCCATGGGCCGCTTCGTGTTTGTGGAGTGGTTTTTTTTCTGTCCAGTATAAAACTAAAAATATTTAGTTAATTTCAAAATTGATATTTTTACATTTTAGGACATAAGAAAATATATTCATGGAAAAACTAAAATTAAAAAAATTATAGTTTATATCAATTTTGATAAAAAAATTAAACCACTGAACTCTGCAGGCTTATGTGAGATCTCCTTTTGTTTGTGGAAAAATGTATTAAGTGTTCCACTTTGAAATAATAAGTTGTAAATTAAAGTGCATGAAAATTAGGCCATTTTGTTGTGTATGTAATTGAGACTTGTTGACGTTTTAAATTAAAAACAAATACTTTAATTTACTTTGAATTCAATTATATATATATTTTTTAAGTCTAGTTCTTATTGTTATCAAATTAACTCGCCTTATTTCTTCTAAGCAACTTTTCTTCAAGGTCTTCCAAAGATTTCTGTGAATTTGAGAGAAAGGTAAGATGTAGTATGTAGATGAAGTATGATTTACTCCTTTTATATGTAAAATCAAACACATATTTTCAGAAAATTGACAAAAAGGAAGAAAAAAAACCTGCTAAAACTAGCGTTTTCTGTACAAAAACCATTAAAATTAAATTTCAGGTTTGTTTTGGTCCAAGCTTCAAAGAGCTGCACATCAGGGACTAAAGAGCCACATGTGGCCCCAGAGCCACAGGTTGCAGACCCCTGCTTTAGACCCTGTCCACACCAGACCCTAAAATCCTTCCCTTGCTACTGAATTGCACTCAGTTAGTGCTAAATACTGGTGTGAACAGCCTCGATGTGCATTGAAAACATTTTTAACCCAAACCACCTTCGTAGATGATATGGATCCTTTTTATTTGCATATGTTTGATAATTTGAATAAGGGATACACCGATCCACTTTTTTCACTACCGATACCGATATCTGCGGTTTAGTATCAGTCAGTATCGATCAGATACGAAACGCATTGCTGAATTAACTTAAAACATTTGTTTTTAAACGCAGACATAAATGTACTGAATTATATTGAAAGCTCTGCACAAGTACAGCACACTTAAACACACCAATAGCTTCTCAAGCTTAATTGATCAAACATGTAAAAACAACACAACTTTAATTTGTTCAGTCAAGGATTCAAGGTTTTTTACTGTCATTCACATCACATGTGGTACATGAGGTGGAACAAAACTATGTACACAGGGTCCCAGTTACATCCAACAAAAATACAAATTGTAAAGAAAAACAGTAATAAGATCCAAGACATGAACTAAGCAATGCGCTAAACTAAGAAGACACTAAGCACTAACAGTACAAAACAATGTTCCAGACAACAGCAGCACTGTCAGAGCAATTATGAGTATAACATTAAACGTAAAATAAATAATAATAAAGATACTGAAACTGACAAAAACAATAGGTTGACAACTTTGGTCAAACATGAAAAAACAGCTTCACTAGCTTTGGTTGGCAGATATTTAAAATAAACAGCAATCAGCTTCTGTCCTTATGGATCGGTCACATTGTCACCGATACCCAATCAAGAAATTTCCGATACCGATACATGTGCTGGTATCGGATCGGTGCAGCTCTAATTTGAACACAGTCCGTCCTGAGCCTTGATGTCAGACCTCCTGCTGAGCTGACATCACCCCACACAATAGTCAGAATTGTTAACTGGACATCTCGGGGTAAAAATAGGAATAAAAAAAAAAAACCTGCTCATCTGCCAGCTTATTTAAGATACAGTAGAACATCAAATTTAAAACTGAATTTAATCCAACAAGTGATTTGTGTAGTGAACCTGATCTGACCCTGATCTGACCCTGATGACCTCAAATCTATCAGATGGACAGAGACTGTTATTTCATTGATCTGAATACAGTCTGAGCCATCTGGTGACTTTCTTTCTTGAATTAATCAAGCAGAAAAGACAATTCTCTATGATCATCACTGTTTTACAAATGTTTGATAATCAAAATTGTGTTAGTTCACTCAATGTTACAGGTTGAAGAGAACTACTCATTTTTATTTTACATAAACAGTAAGTAATGATTTTTATTCCTCATTCAAAGAAGAAATCAGGTTAATATGCATTTCTTGATTTTTCTGTCTGCAATGTAAGTATGTTAAAGGTCGGTTTTCGGTCAACTAAAATGTTTACCGAGAAAGATGTCATGTTTAAACTTTTTCAGAAGATTATAAGTGTGAGACTCCACGAAGTCTGAAGTCCTACAATAATCTTTCTGTTCGTTACTGTAGTGAGTCACGTGAGATACGTGTCACTTGTTGTATGACAAATATATGAATTATATATGCATACAATATTCACGAGTTCTTCATCTTTCTGACTGTGTAATGCCGTGCATTGAATTTAAAGGAATGCGAACAAGAGACGTTATTTATCTTTGACCCATCAAATGAATGGAATCATTTATTTTCAAAATCAAAGTTTAACATCAAACATTTACATTAATTTGGCAAAATATGAAAATAATAACAGACAGTTTCACAGAAAATGAACTTCAAATCACTCGGCGGTGATTTGAGGACTTTGCTTCAGACATTTCTAAAAATATCTGTACTGATTTATGAGAGAGAAGAGTTTAAGATTAAATTGAGATTTATCTTACAGAGGAAATATGTGAGGGAATTTAATCTGTTTGACCAGAAGTTGCACGCTCCGTCCGATCTCAGCTTCTCACGGTACACTTGGTCAAAATAGAACCATCTACCTGTTGATGATGAATCAGCCTTGGAGTAGTTCCTTTCTGACTCGTTTCAGCGTCTCCGTCGAGAGCTACCAAACCTTCAGAGAGTCGTGCGTGGTTAGCTCAAAACAGAATTATAATCCCCAAAAAACCTCTGGATTCTTCATTGCTCTGAAGCTTTCAGAACCGACTGCACTCTCAATCTTGGAACTCTCACGTTCTCCAGAACTCTCAATCCTGGAACTCCATATCACTCTGAATCTAACATGAACTGAGAAGTTGCCACATTTTATTTGGGTCGACTTCCTGTTCAATTTAGAGCTTTCTGATTCGTGGAAGGACCAGAAAGAGGAGTGGTTTTGACGTAAGGTGTTTATCAACAGTCGAGGTCAGAGAATGAAATTTGTTTTCACATACAGAAAAGATTATTGCAGCAACAGCAGACTTCGTGGAGTCAACTCTTGGTAATCTTCTGAAAAAGTTTAAACATGACATTTTTCTCGGTAAACATTTTAGTTGACCGAAAACCAACCTTTCACATACTTACGACTTGACTCATTTCAGACAGAAAATCAAGGAATGCTTATTCAGGTGATTTCTTCTTGGAATGAGGAATAAAAATCATTACTTACTGTTTATGTAAAATAAAGATGAGTAGTTCTTTTCAACCTATAAGCATTGAGTGAACTAACACAATTTGATTATCAAAACATTTGTAAGACAGTAATGATTATAAAGAATTGTCTTTTCTGCTTGATTAATTCAAGAAAGAAAGTCATCAGATGGCCCAGACTTATTCAGATCAATGAAAATAACAGTCTCTGTCCATCTGGTAGATTTGAGGTCATCTGGTTCACTACAGTCCCCCCTTTGGAAATCATCACCTGTCCATGGGGATGAATTCCAACCTTGAACTTAGACCTTCAAATGTCCTTGAGCTTGATGTAATCCAGCAAGGAAGACCAAAGTCAGAAGTAATCCTTCAAGGAAGACCAAAGTCAGAAGTAATCCAGCAAGGAAACAAAGTCAAGGTAATTCCACAATGTTCTTGGTGTTCCATTGCGTTGATTATAATCCCATATCGTCTCGATAATCCCATTGTAGCAATGCTTTAACCCCTTGGAAACAGAGTCTGTAATCCATTGAAAAAGTCATATAATCCACAACGGTAAATCCACAGCGATTGGAAGTGTTGATTAATCAGCATACAGAGGGGTACCCTTGGATTGAACTGAAGAAGCGGCCACTGGATGAAGAGTTGAGACCAACGTCAGGATCGCAGATCGCCTCCAGCGAAGGTTGTCTCCAGCGACGTCCAGCCTGTGCCGTTCTGGTTCAATGTGTCATGCAATTATGTGGTTTAAGGTGGGCTTATGAAGGGGATTTTACATAAGGTCTTAAACTATATGCACCTGGTGTGTAAGCTATTATGGTTGGGAACAGCTACAACTACCAGTTAAGGGGTGGAGAATGCTGATAAGGGGTACTACAGGGGTTTATGCCTATAGAAAAGTGTTCCAAACTATTTTTCCATTTCTAACTTGGTTTAAGTTAGCTTTACATGGTAAAATATAGTTTGGTGTAATTGTCTGTTGTCTTTTTAGACGAACGACTTGAGATTGGGTGTTTGGTTTTCCCATAAATGTTTTGGAAGTCTATGGCGAGACTTATCAAAAAGAATTAGCTATCCCCCCGAATAGGATTGTTCGAGTAGGTTCGGCTTAAGCGTTGTGAGATCAATGTAGATTATGGTACTCAAGGTAGCAATAATATACATTGACTCCGCAAAGATTGCAATTTAGTGAATGAACTGCATGTTGGCATGGTTAAAGGCTTCTTAGTCTCTAACTTACTACACAACAAAATTCATTCTTACCTCAGAAACAACCAAAATCAACTAAACAACGTTCCAACACCGACAAGAGTAGTGACTAAGCATCTCGAAACATCGTTTCACAGCTTCTCCTCACCCTGGTTGCCAGATTTCAGTCACGCTGTCCCGTTTTATC